ATATCAACGAGCTCCATTTTTTTTTTTTCTTTTTTAAAGATTCCTAGTATAAGTAACATTGTACAGTATTTCTTTTTTTTTTTTTTTTTATCCTCACCCAAGGACATTTTTTGTTCAGGTAGAGTGGGAAGGAGAGAGAGGAACAGAGAGAGAGAGAGAGAGAGAAACATCGATGTGAAAGGGACACATCAAGTGGCTGCCACCCGCATGACCGACCAGGGCCGGGGACAAACTGCAACCAAGGTACATGCCCTTAGCGGGAACCGAACCCGGGTCTCTCGGGACCGCAGGCTGATGCTCTAACCGCTGAGCCAAACTGGCCAGGGCTCGTACAGTATTTCTTTAGCTGCCCGACTTTCCTTACTTAGCATGCTGCCCTCAAGGTCCATCCATGATGTTGCAAATGGCAAGATTTCCTTCTTTTCTGGCTGCATAACATGCCATCCTGTGTGTGTATTCCTTTCGATGCTGTTGAATTCAATTTGCTAGTATTTGGTTGAATATTTTTGTATCAGTGTTCACAAGGGATATTGGTATATAGTTTTCTCGTAGTGTCTTTGGTGTTGGCATCAAGGTAATGCTATTATTCTTCCATTTCACCTTTTGCATCTCAGCTTCTTCATCTATAAGATGGGATCATAATAGAACCCCATGCATAGGGCTGGTGTACAGAGTAAATAAGAGAATACACACAAAGTGCTTCAGCAGGGCTCAGCTCACAGGAAGTCCTCAAAATGCATTAGCTAATAGTAATACTAATGATAATAATAAGTGAAAAGTGTGTCTCATAGTGGGGCTCTGTCCAACAGGAGCTTGTAGCAATTTCCCAAGTAAGGGGAGGGAGGGAGGGGTACTGCAGGGCAGAACTAGCCAGCTCTCGTGGCCGAACATTGGCAGGACCTCAAGCCATTTTGTGGAGTCATTCAAAACTTCCTGCTTGCTTTGATTTCTTAATAATGGCTTGACAGCTTTTAAGGAACTAAAAGCAGTGAGGCGTAGGAAGAGAAAAAACAACATGTAACACACAGAATTTCTCTCTTTGATGAGTTATCATGGGTTCACAGAGCACAAATGTCACTGGCAATGGTGATGAAGATGTGGGTGGCACTTCCCAAAAATCTAATGAGTTTTAACGTTTTTTAAAAATATTTTTTAGAACCACTTCAGGTTTACGGGAAATGGAGCGGAGAGTACAGGAAGTTCCCATATATCTCCCAGCCTGACACACGCAGTTTCCCCTATTACCAACATCTTGCATTAGTATGGTACATTTGTTACAACCAATATTGATACATTATTATTAACTAAGGTCGGTAGTTCATGTAGTTCACACTACGGCTCACTCTTTGTGCTGTGCATTCTGTGGGTTTGGACACATGTATAATGGCATGTAGCCAGCATTTCAGTATCATAGTTTCACTGCCCTGACATCCCCGGCACTTCATCTGCTCATCCCTCCCCCTCCCCATCTCCATTCGGGCCTCTGGCAACCAGGGATCTTTCCACTGTCTCTATAGTGTTACTCTTTTCAAATTCCATATAGTTAAAATCATACATATATAGTCTTTGCAGATTGATATCTTGCACTAAGCAATATGCATTTAAGAGTCCTGCAGTATTTTTATGGCTCATTTATTTCTATCACTGACTATGTTCCATTGTATGGATATACCAAAATGTGTTTATCCAGTCACCCTTGAAAGGGCATCTTAGTTGCTTTCAATTTGGGTTATCGTGTATCTAAAATAAATGAGTCTTAAAACTCAACAATAAACAAAACAATTCAAAAAACGAGCAAAAGATCTGAACAGACACTTCACCAAAGAAGATATATACAGATGGCAAATAAGCATATGAGAAGATGCTAAATATAAGATATCATTAAGGAATTGCAAATAAAACTGGAATATCTCTTCATTTATTTAGATCTTTGATTTCTTTTATCAATATTCTGTAGTTTTCATCACCTAGATCTTGTACATATTTTGTTAGATTTATACCTAAGTACTTCATGGTTTTGGTAATACTATAAATGGTGTTGTGTTTTTAATTTCAAATTCCAGGTGTTCATTGCTGGTATATAAGAAAGCAAATGACTTTTTAATGTTAACCTTGTATCTTGCAACCTTGCTAAAATTGCTTATAAATTCTACAAGTTTTTGTTGTTGTTGCTGTTGTTGTTGTTGTTGTTGATTCTTTGGAATTTTCTATGTGGGCAATCATGTTATCTGCAAACATAGATAGTTTTATTTCTTCCTTCCCAATTTATATGCCTTTTATTTCCTTTTCTTTTCTTATTGCATTAGCTAGGACCTCCAGTACAATGCTGAAAGGAGCCATCCTGCCTTGTTCTTGATCTTAAGAGGAAAGTTTGTAATTTCTCACCATTAAGTATGATGTTAGCTTTAGGGTTCTTGTAGATGTTCTTTATTAGGTTGAGGAAGTTCCCCTCTTATTCCTAGTTTACCAAGAATTTTTGTTTTGTTTTTTAAAATATGAATTAATGTTGGATTTTGTCAAATGTTCTCATCTATTGAGATGATCATGTGATTTTTCTTCTTTAGCCTACTGATGTAATGGATTACATTGATTGATCTTCTGATGTTGAACCAGCCTTGCATACCTGGAATAAATCTAATTTGGTTGTGGTATATATATATATATATATATATATATATATATATATATATATATATTTTTTTTTTTTTTTTTTTTTTTTTCTTTTCTCATTGTTGGATTCTACTTGCTGATATTTTGTTGAGGTCTTTACAGCTATATTCATGAGAGATAATGGTCCAGTTTTTCTTTCTTATAATTTCTCTGTCTGGTTCTGATATTATAGTAATGTTACCCTCATTAAATAAGTTAGGAAATGTTCCCTCAGCTTCTATTTTCTAGAAGAGATGATAGAGAATGGGTATCATTTCTTCCTTAAATGTTTGATAGAATTCACCAGTGAACCCATCTGGACCTGGTGCTTTCTCTTTGGGAAAGTTATTAATTATTTATTTGAATTCTTTCATGGATACAGGCCTATTCAGATTATCTAGTTCTCTTTATGTGAGTTTTGGTAGATTGTGTCTTTCAATGAATTGGTCCATTTAAGTGATCATATCTGTGGACATAAAATTATTTATAATACTCCTTTATTGTCCTTTCGATGTCTATCGGATTAGTAGTGATGGCCTCTCTTATTATTTCTAATCTTAGTAATTTATATCTTCTATGTTCTTGGTTATCTTCCTAGAGACTTGTCAATTTTATTGTGTTTTTTTTAAAGAATCAGCTTTTGGTTTAATTGATTTTTCTCTATTGTTTTCCTGCTTTCAATTTCGTTCATTTCTGCTATAATTTTCATCTCTTTTCTTCTGCTTGTGTTTGGTTTAAGTTGTTCTTTCTTCTCTAGTTTCCTAAAATGAAAGTTTAGATTATTGATTTTAGATCTTTCTTTTCTTTTCTTTTTAAAATATCTTTTCTTTATTGATCTTAGAGAGAGGAAGGGAGAGGGAGAGAGAGAGAGAAACATCAATGAGAGAGAACATCGACTGGCCACCTCACTCAGGATCAGGCCCACAACCTGGGCATGTGCCCTCACCGGGAATTGAACCAGTGACCTCTTGGTGCATGGGTCGATGCTCAACCACTGAGCCACACTGACCAGGCAGATCTTTCTTTTCTAATAGATGCATTCAATGCTATAAATTTCCCACTAAGTACAGCTTTTGCTGCATCCCACAAATTTTGATAAGTTGTATTTTCCTTTTCTTAGTTCTAGATAATTTTTTTTCTCTCTTGAGATGTCTTCTTTGACTCATGTGCTGTTCTGAAGTGTGTTGTTTAATCTCCAAATATTTAGAGATTGCCCGGCCAGTGTGGCTTAGTAGTTGAGCATTGACCCATGCACGGAGAGGTCACTGGTTCAATTCCCAGTTGAGGCACATGCCCAGGTTGTGGGCCCGATCCCCAGTGGGGGGCATGCAGGAGGCGGCCAGTTGATGTTCTCTCTCATCGATGTTTCTCTCTCTCTTTCTCTCTCTCTCTGATATCAATAAAGATAAATAAATAAATAAATAAATAAATAAATAAATAAATAAATAAATAAATATTGGGGGATTTTCCAGCCATCTTTCTACTGTTGATTTCTAGTTTAATTCCATTGCAATTTTGAGAGCATACTTTGCATAATTCCTATTCTTTTAAACTTGTTGAGATATGTTTTGTGGCACAGAATGTAGTCTGCCTTTGTGACTGTTCCCTGTGAACTTGAAAAGAATGTGTATTTTGTTGTTGTTATGTGAAATAGTCTATAAATGCCAGTTAGATCTGGTTGGTTGATGGTGCCATTCGCTTGATCCTCACGTGTTCTCTGCCTGCTGAATCTGCTCCTGACAGAGGGACATTGAAGCCTCCAGCTATCAAAATGGATTTGTCTGCTTTTACTAGCAGTTCTGAGGGTGGTTTTGCCTCCTGTATTTTGATGCACTGTTGTTAGGTACATACACATTCAGGGTTGTTGTGTCTTCTTGCCCCTTTATCAGTATGAAATGCCCCTCTTTATCCCTGACAACTTCCCTTTCTCTGGAGTCTGCTCTATCTGAAATTAGTATAGCTACTCCTGCTTTCTTTTTGTGTTTCACTATTTGTTGTTGTTGTTAATCCTCACCCAAGGATGTTTTTCCATTGATTTTTAGATAGAGTGGGAGAGAGGGAGGGAGAAAGAGAGAGAGAGAGAAACATCAATGTGAGAGAGACACATTGATTGGTGGCCCCCCTCACGACCCCGACCGGGGCTGGGGATCAAACCTGCAATCCAGGTATGTGCCCTTGACCAGGAATCAAACCTGCAGTTGTTCAGTCCTCGGGCTCTAACTGCTGAGCCAAACTGGCCAGTCGGCCAGCTGACGCACTCAGCACATCCTGGCACCCAGTGACACCGGTTCATGTTAGGGCCCCGTCATTCTTGTCCCCCTGCCTCTGACGGTCCTCCTCCTCCATTTCAGTCTAAGGACATCGACAACCATCACGCTCTCATTGAGTATAATGAGGCCGAGGGCAGCTTCGTTCTCCAGGACTTCAATTCCCGCAACGGCACCTTTGTCAATGAGTGCCACATTCAGAACGTGGCTGTGAAGCTGCTACCCGGAGACATCCTGAGGTTCGGGTCTGAAGGGCTGACCTATGAACTCGTCATCGAAAACTCGCCCTCGGTGAGTCCTGCAGGGTCAGGCGGGGTGGCAGAGGTGCAGTGCTGCGTAGACCTGCGCCCGTGCAGGGCGTCAGTGAGCATGCCCCTCATCCCCTGATGTTCCCTCATGCATGGCATTTGCTTGTTTGCTTTTTTATTTTTTTCATCCTCAGCTGAGGATATCTTTACATTTATCTTCAGATTGGGAGGGAGGGAGGGAGAGAAAGAGAGAGAGAAACGTCGATGTGAAAGAGACACATCGACTGGTTGCCTCCTGCACGACCCCGACCAGGGCCGGGGACCAAACCACAACCGAGGTACGTGCCCTTGACCAGAAACAAACCCGCAATTCTTTGGTCCGAGGGCCGACGCTCTGACCACTGAGCCAAACCGGCCAGGGCTGTTGCTTTTTTTTTTTTTTTTATCTTCACCCGAGGACATTTTTCCATTTTTTGTTCAGATAGAGCGGGAGGGAGAGAGAGGAAGAGAGAGAGAGAGAGAAACATTGATATGAAGGGACACATCGAGTGGCTGCCACCCACACAACCCAACCAGGGCCGGGGACAAACTGCAACCGAGGTACGTGCCCTTAGCGGGAACTGAACCCGGGTCTCTCTGGACCGCAGGCCGACGCTCTAACCGCTGAGCCAAACCGGCCAGGGCAGGGCTGTTGCTTTTAAGAGCTTCACTGAAGTGTCATTTACATATCATAACTTTCACCCTCTTTACGTGTACAACTCGATCAATTTTAGTGCATTTACAGAGTTCTGCAGCCATCCCGACCATCCACTTCCAGAACATTTCACTGCCCCCCCAAAAGACTTTGCAGGTACTTAGACGTTTTTTGTTTGTTTGTTTTTAATTTTTAAAATTGTGGCAAAATACACAAAAAATTTACCATCGTAGCCATTTTTCAGTGTACATACAGCTCAGTGGCATTAATACATTCACATTGTTGCGCAGCCATCTCCAGAACTTCTCTTATCGTCCCAAACCAAAACGCTGCACCCATTAAATAACAGCCCCCTCTTCCCTCCCCACCACCGGCCACCATCCTTTCTGTCTCTATGAACTTCACCACTCTAGGCCCTCATATAATGGACTTTTACCGTATCTGTCTCCTTGTGACCGTCTTATTTCCCTTAGTATAACATCCTCAAGGTGAGCCACGCTGTAGCAAGTGTCAGAATTTCAAGGCTGAATAATATTCCTTTATATGGATAGGCCACATTTTGTTTATCATTCATCCGTGGACTCTTGGGTTGCTGCCACCTTTTGGCAGTTGCGAATAAGATTGTTGCCAAGATGGGTGTACAAACTTGGAAGGGCTACTTCATTTTAAGAGGTGCTTCTCATACAAGACAAGTGTGGGGCACAGTGGTGAAGAGCTCTGACCTTGACGAGAGAAGAAGAGGTCACTCTGTGAAAGAAGGCAGGAGAGTGGCGGGAGGAGTCCCTGACGGTGGCGACAGTGTGCCAAGCAGCTCACCTGCTTTCCCTTATTTAATGCGGACAGCAAGCCACGAGGGGGGTTCCCCCGTGATCCCCATTTCACAGACAAGGCACCCAAAACTCAGAGAGGTTAAGTCATTCCCCCAGGGTCACACAGCTGGTCAGTGCGAATTGAACTCTGTCCCCACTTGCGGATAACGGAGGGGAGAAGACCTTTCGGTCTGATGCCAGCAGAGCAGTGTCATCGGCTGGTTCCCAAAGAGAGCAAAGTGCACTTTCCTGGCCACTTGATACACTCGGATTTCTTGAATTCTTATTTCCGCGTGCAGTAGCATCTCCCTTCACTCCCCAAGTGGCCGCCGGCAGCTACATAGAAGTTTCTTTGGCCTGTGCCTGGGCACGCACAGCGGCCCGAGCCCTCCCAGGGAGGACCTGTCCCTGCAGGGCTCTCCCCGACCCCAGAAGTGCTCGCGGGGTGCTCCTAGATTGAAAGAGGTTCACGCGTGCATCCTCTAAGCTCTTGTTGATGGAGGGGTCCCCTGTGGGCCTCCGGGGAGGGCAGCCTTGTGATAGCCACACATTCCTACGAGTTCCATTTCCTGATGACCCAGACCTGTGCTATATTTTTTTAAAGAAAGAAAAATAATGCCGTAGGGAGAGTGTCTCTCATCAGATATCTCGAGGCCCAGTTTTTCCTGCATGCTGAGTCCCAGGAGAGGGTGCTACATCCCCCTCCCGCCCCCCGCCCACCCCCTGGGGAGAGTTTCCGCGGAGAATCGCCCGGATGCCACAGTGCGGGTGATCAGAACCGTGCTATTGCTGACCAAGGCTTTGTGGTGACCATGACCAGGAGAGCAGCCGTGCCAACGGGGAGGGGGGGAGCTACGGAACGGCGGTGTTGCGGATCCGTGGTGGGAGCGTGCGTCGGGAGTCAGGCTGGCTGGGGCGCAGCCCGTCCGCTCTTCCACTGCCTGTGGGTTCGCGCCCACGTCACTTCCCCTCTCAGACACCCGGCTCCCATCACTGTACAGTCGGGGTGACACTAGCTCCTACCACACGAACTCGCTCAGTGGGCAGTGTCATTGCCTAGCCCAGCACCTGCACCTGTGACGGGCACGCGGTAACTCTCAGCTGTGGAACCAAGCAAACACACGGCTGCCTCCCGCGTGCGTGTTCCTTTGGACCAGAGACCTCCCCCAACCTCCCCAGCTAGAAGATGGGTACATAATTACCCGTGGAATGGCATACAAGATGGAAAACTATAAAGAAAAACTCGTGGTTGGCAAAGTACAATTGGCACGGAGGGTCTACCCAGGAGTAGACCTTGTAAATCATATCACCGTAGTGTCACCGAGGGCCGCATGTTGCAGAACTCACCGTTCACTTCGTGGCCCGTGTGAACGGCGCCCCCGGGGCTGCCGGGACAGAGCCTGTTGGGTCCTGCGTAACGCCCTGGGCAGCTGTTAAGTAACGACAGAGAGCCTGTGCCTCCGCACCTGGGGTGGGAAATGGAAGTCACAAAGCCGGGTGTGCCCACCACATGAGGCTTTGTTTGCTGCTGCCTTTTTAGCGCAGGAAGGGAGGTGTGGAAACCAGCTGTCTTGTTCACAGCGGGGCTGTTCTTTTTTTGTTTTTTCTTTTAAAAAATTTTTTTTTTCCTTTATTGATTTTAGAGAGAGAGGAAGGGAGAGGGAGAGATAGAAACATCGATAAGAGAGAACATCGACTGGCCGCCTCCTGCATGCCCCCCGCTGGGGATTGGGCCCACAACCTGGGTGTGTGCCCTGACTGGGAATCAAACTGGTGACCTCTTGGTGCAGGGGTCAGTGCTCAACCACTGAGCCACACTGGCCGGGCAACAGTGCTGTTCTTATAAAGCAGCTGGTGAGGAAACACTCCTCACCCAAATGTATACATTGTGTCATTGTCAGTCCTGAGATGTGGCCAATCTAGCGGGAATGCCCAGAATGAAGACCAGGTTGACCTCACGCCCGTCCCCATTCGTGGTGTGGTTCCATCAGCAATGACACGTCAGGCTCTAGCACGGGGCCAGCGGGGAACGTCACCGCGCTGCCATGATTGTCCACGTGTGGGATTCCCTAGCCTGCTCTGCCCTGCTCCCAGCTAGACTCCCCCATGTGACCTCTGGATACTGTCCCCGTCCCCCTTGCAACATCCCGTCATTCTGCAAAGAGCGCCCTCTATGGGCCGTGTCCCTCGCTGCTCACTGCTGTAACAGGCGCTCTGCCGAGTATAGTGAAGAAGGGAGGGCCTTGGAGCTCCGTAGACCCAAGTTCGCTGCAGTTCAACCTTACTGAGCTCCAGGGTCCAATGCCTGCCGAGCAGTTATTCATTCATTCATCACAGGCCCACTTTCCCCTTCGGAATTTGTGTAGAGGTCATTAAGACCTATCATTGTATAAACGGATACCCAGTCACGTGTGCCCAATTCTGTCAGTGTGGGGTCGTGGGTATTCATGGTATACTTCGGGTTATAATCCCACAGTGTCTATTTCATTGCTGTAATTAGTCCAGCCTTGGCCCCTGGGAGCTATTTCCGGTTGGTCGCAGTGTCCTTTGAATGTCTCCACCGTTTTATTTGGAGTCGAACAGTATCACCACTTTCAAGCTGTGGGACCCTGGGCAAGTCACTTTACCTCTCTGAGCTTCAGTTCTCACTCCACAATACGGGGGTAAAAATGCGCCCCCCCATTGTAAGATTATTCTGGTAATTAGGTGAAACCACACGTGGTAAGCTCACAGCAGTCTCTGGCGTGTGTGCCTCCGCTCCATGGTGGGTCACAGCTGTAGTGAATCAGTCATTTCTGACACACGGCATGTGACAAGCTCTCCGAAGGCAAGGTCTGCTTCCCCGCCTCGTCCCAGCCTCCAGGGCTTCTCAGCCAAATGCATGTGTCCTGGGTGCAAACCACCTGGACTTGTGTAGGGTGTCCCCTTCAACCCACACCCTTCAGGGCTAGAAGCAGACACTGGAGCGAGAACACAAAGAGCAAGTAGATAATCTGAAAAAAACGGATTGTGATTTCTTGAGTAAATCATTGACCTGCGTTTGTTCAAGCTGATACACACTCAGCAGCGGGCGGGGCCACGGCCCTACCAGGTGGCTGGCAACCTGCTCCTTTAAGATAGTGTGGAAGAAATCCGGAACGTGACATATGGCCCCTCGAAGACAGAACAAGAAAACCAGCCACGCACTGAAGCGGGTGGACAGAGAAAAGGCATTAGCATGCACTTTTAAACTGAAGTGTCTGAAAAACAGGCTTGTTGATCTAGGTACTTTCTAATGTGAGCGCAGCCCACAGCTAGCTCACGGCACGACTCTTCCCCGCGTGTTTGCTCCCCACTCCCCTCAACCCCCACACCTGTTTCCTTGCAGTTACCAGCAGTAATGTCTGCGGAAACCTTGCCCTTCCTTGCCCACGACAGAGCAGGCCTGCTAACTAGAGGGAACCAATTTGATCCTTCCAACTAAAGCCACCCTCGATCTGTGGGCTTAGAGGAGAACAAGCCCGAAGAGCCCCCCGGGGTCTCCGCCGCACTGCCGTGTCCCTGGCCCCTTCCCCGGTCAGGGGCCCTATGGTTAGAGCTCGGCCTGCTGCAGCTCCTGCTCTGGCCCAGCCGCTCACAGGGCTGGGCAGTGAGGGTGCAGCCCCGGCCAGGGCTCAAACCCAGCTTCCTTATTTGCACCCCCATGTTCACAGCAGCATAGTCCCAGTAGCCAGGAGGTGAAAGCAACCCAAGTGCCCATCGATGCTGAATGGATAAACAAAATGTGGTGCACACATACAGCGGGCCATTAATCAGCCTTCAAACGGAAGGGAATTCTGACACGTTACAACATGATGAACCTGGAGGACCTTCTGCAGAGTGAAATAAGCCCATCACTGACAGACAAACACTGTGTAGGTCCACTTATCTGAGGCACCTGGATAAATCCATAGAGGTCAAAGCCATAGCGGCAGACGGTAGATGGTGATTACCAGGCGCGGGGGGAGGGGAAATGGGAGCTGTTGTTTAATGGGAATCGAGTTTCAATTTTGCAAGATGGAGAGATAACACAAAGTACGTATTCTGGAAAAAAAAATGGATTGTGATTTCCTGAGTGAATCATTGACCTGCATTTGTTCAAGCTGTAATTATGTGGCTGGGACACAGAGGTGGAGACCACCCCAGCTAATTGTAACCTCCCCTGACCCTCTTGTCTACCCCTGCAGGTCTCCTTCCCATGGGTGAGGGGTCCAGCACGTTGGCCAGGGCCACAGCCACCTCGGGCCACACAGCAGCCGAACCAGTCACCCTTGCCACCACAGACACCCTTCCACCCGGGCATCCGGCCAACGCCAGTGCAGAAGAGCTGGTCCCAGGGGTGCTCCAGGTCCAACGTGGCCCCGCCTGCCTCCCACAAGCGGCCTATGAGTGCCTGCGGGAAGATGTTCTCCTTCGTGGTGGAGAGCACCAGCCGGTCTCCCGTCATCAAGCAAGGTATTCACGGGCACGCCCCCTGGTGCCTTGGGGCTGGGCTTCCAGCCTCGACGGTGGGTCTTGCTTTCTGCCTATTTCCTCTGATTTTAAAGTAGAACATAGTCCATTGTGAAAAAATTGTAAGAAAACAGTTCGAGATGAGCTGTCACCCAATTCCCCCCTTGGACCTTTGGGTATAAATCCCTCCTGACTCTGCTCTGCCCATGTGCACACGTCAGTACCTCTGTGGGGTGTGTGTGTGTGTGTAGCAGGATCTAGATTTATGCACTTTGACTTGGATGTGCAGAAATACCCTTGCCTGAGGAGGTTTTTAAATATTGTATTACCATTTTACAGGTGAGAGGAGACCGAGGCTTATCAAGGAAATTTACTTTCCCAGAGGTTATATATTCCGTCTACTCTAACCTAATGGGTTTTAGTCCCATTTAAGGCTGATTATGTTAGTGATGGTCACACACAGTCTGGTCACTTTGGGGACACACAGCCTTCAAGGTTTCCTTCCCCCATCCTCTCCCCTTAGAAGGCCTCACGGCATCTGGGGAGGAGACTCGCTGTCTGTCCCTGTCCTCTCGGCCTCACCAGCCTCACTGCAGAGTAGCCGGATCAGCTTAGTCCCTGGCACGGTTCCCAGTTCCCTTCACGGCCCTTGGTGTCAAGTCCCATTGTCCGTCCTCTGAGTTCCAGCCCCAGACCCCTCGGAGTCCCCAGGTCACTCAGGAACATTCACTTTGTCACATCCCTCAGCCATGTGCATAATAGTTATTACTGTGAAATACACGAACAAAGGAGTAAACAAAATGTATCTCTACAGTTTACATCATCATTACCATCGTCATCATGAGATGAACCCTCATGTACCTACCACCCAAGTTAAGAAATTACTCAGCCAGCCCTGGCTGGATTTGCTCAGTGGTTAGAGCATCAGCCTGCGGACCAGAGAGTCTCCGGTTTGATTCTGGCCAAGGACGTACCTCGGTTGTGGTTCAGCCCCGGCCCCCATTGGGGTCAGGCAGGTGGCAACCAATCAATGTTTTACTCTGTCTGAAGATAAATGTAAAAATGTCCTCAGGTGAGGGTTAAAAAAAAGAAGAAGAAATTACTCAGCCATTTCCCCCCAATATTTTAATCTGAAAATTTTCAAACATGCAGCAAATTAAAAAGAATTCTTCAGATAACCCCCATATAATTCTATCGTTCACATTTTCTGTACTCTTTATTACATAGCTACCTGTCTATCCATCCTTCTATTTATTCATCAATACACTGTATATTTTGATACATTTCAAAGTACATTGTACATATCTGTAGTCTTCTCCCTAAATATTTTAGCATATATACCATTAACTAGAGTTCAACAGTTTTTATTTTATTAATATAAAATTAACGTGCGATGTGTATTAGTTATCAATTTGTTGCATTAAAATTCTCCCAAAATTTAGCAGCCTAAAGCCAAAAAAAAAAAAAAAACGGTGTTATATTTCTCTGTGGGTCAGGAATTTGGGAGCATCTTAGAGGTTGGCTGTGGCTCACGGTCTCTCATCAGCTTGCAGTCAAGCCGTTGTCCAGGGGTGCGGTCATCTGAAGGCTTGTCTGGGACCGGAGAATCTTCCTGCATGGCTGTCAGCAGGAGACCTCAGTTTCTCACTCCGTGGACCTCTCCAGAAAGCTGCTGGAGGGAGTGTCCTCATGACATGGCAGTTGGCTCCTTCTGAGCAAGTGATCCAAGAGAGCAAGATGGAAACTGCAACATCTGTCATGACCAAGCCTCAGAAGTCGCTCTGTCATGTCTGCAATATCCTGTTAATCAGCTGAACCCAGTGTGGGAGAAGACAACACATGGCATAAATACCAGGAGGCAAGAATTATTGGCAGTCATCTTGGAGGCTGCCTGCCACACTCTGCCCTCTGGTCCTCAATGATTCACCCCCCGTCTCACCCTCTCCTGATCCCCCCATTACAGCATCAGCTCAAATTCCAGAACCTCATCTAAATCAAGCCCAGGTACAGATGGAGCTCATGGATGTAGTTTCTGAAGTTCAGTTCAAATACTGTTTTTAGCAATCTGCAGACCTATGAACCACAGAGCCAAGGTGTCCGTCTCTCATGCCCAACATACATTGGTGGGACTGGCATAGCATAACTGCTACAGACACTCCTCTTGTTCAAAAAGGAGAAAAACAGGAAACACACAGGAGTCACTGGCCCAAAGCAGTTCTGAAATCCAGCCGGAAAAATGTTGGAAGTTTCTTGGTTAGGCCTCAGTCCTACTCTTGCCCAGAAATGACTGTCCATGGCTCTTGGCTCTACACCCTGGTCCCCTAATTCATTCTCGGAGTCATCCTACCTTTTCCACGAAAGATATCACGTGTTTGCAGCTGCATAGCATTATCGTCTACTTCCTGCTTGTAGAAGCTTGGGGGCCCAAAAGCTTCTTTTACTTTTGTCTCTATCTCTGTCAGTCCAAGTTGGCAATGTCTCTTATTGGGGTTCACCCTATTAGGCAAAAACCATGCTTACAGATTTCTTCTGAATTCTTTTTCCACCGTGGATTAGACATTCCTATTCTAGAATCTCAAATAAATGGGATCATGTAGTACATGTTCTATTTTGAAAGGCTTTTTCATTCAGTACAATATTTTTAAGATTCATCTTTTTTTTTCTATTTTTGGAGTTTGTTCCTTTTCATTTTGATCCTTTTTGGTTTGTTCCTTTTTATTTGTTTCTGTTGTATGAACATATACAGAGGGGTTTTTTTATTCATTTTTTATTGTGGGACGCATGAACTATTTCTTTTCTTTCTTTTTTTTTTTTTTACCCAACCATTTTTTTCCCCAGCACAATAAATTTGTTTAGCCTTTTAGAAAGAAAGTCACACAGGCAGAAGAAGTGAGCCAGCTGGGCTGCGTGGCCCCGGGAAACAAATCACAGAGGCAACAGAAGGGCCCTCAGCACTCAGGACAGAGAAAGCTAAAGATACACACCTAAGGAAAGAAGGTGGGGAAGGCGTGGGCGTGCTCGAGAGAGAGCTCGCCTCGGCCATTTTAATTTTCCCCCTGTAGCCAGTGGATTTTGTCACCTGTTTTTCCAGGGCCACATTGGACATGTGGCTTCTAAATGGTGTGTGTTCTCCCCGGGAAGGAAAGTGTAGTCCTACGGCCAAGACGCCCTCACATCTGCCTGGGCTTTATCACCACAGCCGCCCACCCAGGTCTCATCTGGGTCCAAACTTTCATTGAGTTTCATTAAGTGTGTCCCCCTCATTCTCTGCCCTATCCCCAGAGAAGGGCGTTCTTTTTCCCCTGTGGTGGGAAGTTCCCCAGCGTCAGAGTCTGGGCCTCTCTACTCCGTGCTTTGGAGCAAACTCTACGCTCCAGTCCTCCCAGGCTGGCTCTTGACTTAACAAAAACAAAACACACCTATTTTGTAGGGTTCTAGGAAAACCTCTGCCTCTCTTAACAAAGCTTGGCTCTTCAAAAAAGAATTGTTTTGCTATTAGACTGCTGACTTGCTTTAGATTTTTTTTTTAATCTATTTGAAAATCCAAAGCCAGGGACTTATTTATTGTAAATCAGAGTTTCTCAGATCATTCTTTTTTATGGGGGCGTCCTGCATATTGTAGGGTGTTTGGCAGGATCCTGGCCTCTACCCGCTAAAAGCCAGCAGCAACCCTCCCCCCACCCCACCCCTAAGTATTAAATCCAGCAATGTCTCCAGACACTGCCTAATGTCCCCTCTTCTAGATGGTATCCACCCTTCTCCTTCCTCGGGCGATGAAACCTCACTGCCAAGGCCAAATCTTAATGGCAAGAGCCCGTGGGAGGTAGGGAAAGAAGAATTACTGAGAACAGAAAATATCTGGGGTGATTTTTAGAAACATTATCCTGGTTTACATATATTTTTCCCAATACTGGGGTAACTTGACCCTAACATTGGCAACCAGCTTTTAAAATTCAACACTAGATCATGAAGGTCTTCCCACTTCAGTAAATGTCCTGTGTAATGATAAGAGGGCAGGCTCTAAATCAAACAAGCCTGGGTTGCACCCTTGTCTCTGCCACTCACCAGCTGTGTGACCTTGAGCCGGTGTCCTGACAGCTCTGTGCCACAGGTCTCTCGTTTATAAAGGAGACATGGGAGTAATCATACCCAGCTCATGGGTTGTTAGGAAGATGAACTGGGACCCTGTCTGTAAGCACTAAGCACTTAACTGAGTTATCATATGCTCATGATTGTTATTTACCTTGTATTTACAACTCATGATGTATAAAAACTCAGTCCAAATCTGAAAGACACACTTAAGGTACACACACTCCCCCTGGTGAGGGCTGGTAATTCGCTGACAAGGACCAGGACGGCCAGACCTGTTAAGATATTGAAGTGACTTCCCTGCCCACTGGCAAGTAGCCACCACTGGAAACCTTTCGAAGTGCCTCTGTCCCCACTGCTGCCATCCCCCTGCCCAGCCGTCCTATCCCTCCCTCCAATTCTCCCCACTGGGACCTCCAGGAGTGATCCAGCAACTAGAGTTTGTTTTGAACTGAGTTAAGCCGGGTTGGTCAGCCAGGGCCTCGGGCTCTTTTGGACAGAGGACAGTGGGCAGCAGATACGTCTGGGGCAGGTGGGGTAACCGCTCCAGCACCGTCCTGCCTGGGCAGAAGGCAAGCGAGGCCCAGATCAGACTCTCCCCCACGCAGACGCAGTACACACACCGTCAGCAGCAGAGGGACCCCGAGCGCATTCCGCCCGTTCTGTGGGTTTGACGAAGCCCCGGCTCCCTGTGCTGTAAGGCCTTTGGCCGTCACTTTGCAGAGGGTCTCTCGAGGCCACCAGAATGGGGTCACAAAGGTGTCTGGCATTGTCCCTAGAGATGGCATCAGACAGCAGAGATCTAAAATAAGACTGGACATGGGCCCAGTTAGGGTCAGACCCCAGGGAGCCCCTGGGGCGCAGGCCTGAGCGAGGCGGCCCAGCACTTCACCCCACCTGCGTGGCAGTACCTTCCTCCGCTTGACCACGAGGGGCCCGTTTCTCAGTCAGCGTACCAGGCGACAGGCCACCCTTTTTCCTACTGAAAACCCATTTCAGGCCTTCGGTTGGCTGATTAGGAGAACCTCAAGCCTCTGGACTGCGGCCGGTCTGATGTTCCGCTGCCTGGCCGCGCCGGTGTGGGGCCCTGGTCAGGGCCAGTGCCTGCCCCCGGGTGGAGAGTAAACGACCTGTCCGCAGAGCACCAAACGGACTGTTGTTCCAGGAGCCCCAGGCCTGGTGACGGAGCATGAACGCACCACAGGGCCTCCGGAATTCTGCTGGAGGCCAGAGCCCAAGCCTGCACCACAGCGGGTGCTTCAAAGTCTCGCTTCTCCCTGGCCTTTGCTAACCCAGCCACAGGTGTCGGCAGGACAGCAGGACGGATGCGCCAGGGTAAGGAGAGGGAAACGGGAATGTCTGAGTCCTGGGCTTGCTGACATGGCAGCCACCAGCCACGCGTGGGTGCTGAGACCCGAAATGTGGTGAGTGTGGCGAGGAACTACACTTTGAACTTTAATCCACTTAAATTAAGACACTGAGCCCTGGCCGTTTTGCTCAGCGGTTAGAGTGTTGGCCCGCGGACCAGAGTCCCAGGTTCGGTTTCTCCCTCTCTTCCTCCCTCTCTCCCTCCCACTCTATCTGAAGATAAAATGAAAAAAAAATGTCCTCGGGTGAGGATAAAAACAACAACAACAAAAACAACCTGATACTTTGCTCCGTTTTGGAAGGTTAGAAGTATGCCTGGAACACCATCGGTCTGTGAATCTGCTTTTCCAACTGTACGTTTTCTTGAAACCTCAATACAGACGGAGTCCTCTGTTGAAAATTCAGCTTCCCGGTTGAGATGCACACCGAGTGTGAAATAAACCCTGGGTTTCAAAGACTGGGGACCTCAGTATTTTTTGGTCTCAATTACATGTTGAAATAACATTTTTATCTGTTGCATTAAATAAAATAGATCGTTAAAAATAAGTTCATCTCTTCTTTTTACCTTTTTTTTTTAATCCTCGAGGACACTTTTGCATTCATCTTCAGATAAAGCGAAAGGGAGGAAGAGAGAGAGAAACAGTGTGAGAGAGGCACATCGACTGGTCGTCACCCACACAATCCCAGCTGGGGCCGGAGCCGGGGACAAACTGCAACCAAGGTACATGCCCCTGGTGGGAGCCAAACCCGAGTCTCTCTGGACCGCGGGCTGATGCTCTAACCGCTGAGCCAAACGAGCCAGGGCTCTTTTTACATTTTTAACGTGACTACTAGAGAATTTAAAATCGCGGTCCATAGCGCGCATCATCTTTCTACCAGACTCATCAGTTAGGACCCAGCTGCTGGGGATCCCAGAGAGTGAGGTGGGGGAGTGAGCTTCCAATAAACGGCTTCTAGCCGTGGACTGAGTTGGGGACGTGGAGGCGAGAATGGGCGGCTGCTGAAACAGCTCTATGAGATCCCCCGGGAAGCCCTTCGGTGCCCCCCTAACTCTGTTCAGCATCGACCCCTCCCTGCCCAGAGGAGCAGCTGCCTCCTGGCCGGGGGAGGGAGACCGAAGGTGAAGAGGGTGTCGCCCTCTCGGTTCTCTGGGCCCCGGACCTGCCCCCGTGTGCAGGGCTGAGATAATCGGGGTGCGTGTTCTCAGGGTTGGAGCGCTCCTGCCAAACGGAGACCAGAGCATCCACTGGCACCGGCAGGGCCTCTTCCCTGCCCGTCCGGCCTCTGCCTCGGTGGGCGCGGAGGCGGGTGGGGTGGGTGGGAGCTTGCTTTTCTCAACTCTTTCTAGACCAGTTCATCCCTCTTTGCCTGGGACTTTCCCGGCGTCGGCCCTGAAAGGCCCCGTCCCAGGACACCCTCAGCCCTGGGCACACCGGGACAGCTGGTCACCTCTCCTGGCTCATTGGGCATTCACTCCCTCACTCATGCGTGCACCGCCCTGGGGGACCAGCACTTCCGTGATGGCTGTGTGCCCTGGTTCTGGAGCCAGACCGCCTGGGCCAGACCCTGACTGTCCCTCGCCAGCTGGTGGCCCGTTAGGCTGTCTGCACCGGGCCTCCCGGAGCCTCGGTGGGGCTGGCGGTGGCTCCCGTGCCTGCGAGCACCAGCGTCACGTGGAAAGCACGTGGCCCACCGGCCTTCCCTGAGCTATTGGTTGAGTGTGGGCCCCTCTCGCCACCAGTTCCTGCCAAACAGAATCGAGGCAGGTGGGGTTCGCACTGGGGCGTGACCTCTCTCCAGCCGTGTGAGCGTGGGCAGAGGTCTTCCCTCTCTGTGCCCCAGTTTGCACGTCCGTACAATGGGATCAGAAACTCATTGTGGGGGCCACACACTGAGACCTGGTCCCCAGCCACATAGTCAGGGAGACTGACTAACAGAACAGTCACAGAACAACACCTCCAAAGTGACGAGAGCTCACGCCCCGAGAGCTCACGACCAGGACCTGACTTAGTCGGGGGACCTGGAAGGTGTTCCGAAGGGAGTGCCACTCTCACTGAGAGCTGAAAGGGGAGTCGCGTCCAGTCAGTGGAGGGGGGACAGTGTGGGAGGGACTTTGTGGGAGGGGTGGGGGTGGGGCGAGGGCGAGGGGATGGTAGTGTGGCTGAAGGGTGTGCCCCCGGAGGAATACGGCTTGAGATCCCATTAAAGGAGCAATGAGAAGCGATGGCACGTGTCAGGCGGGGAGGGGACGTGACCCGAGGTCATCCGCACCGGGCGGTGTCTGACCTTGGATTTATTTGCCACCACAGGGAAAGCTCTGCTTGTTTGGGACCTGGGGGAAAGGAACTGGCTCTAAAAATGCATAAATTAAAAAATGCTGCAGAATCAAAATGAATAAATGAATGAATGTCCACAAATGCGACGGTGGGTACTTCATTAATGGTCGATGTGAATGTGTCGCAATACATTTGATGGGGTATGAAGTGGGGCCTCCAACCGTAACAATGCCAGAACCCCTATGATACTGGGGATGCATTTTTAAAAACCAGGATAACCAAATATCTACCCAGTGGATTCTTGTTAAATGCGTTTTAGGACACTTGTACAATGAATGGACTACAATGCTGCTATTAAAAGAACGCAATTTATCTATAAATGCTGACATGGGAAGGTGTTTTCGATATATTGTCAGGTTGAGAAAGCAAGCTGGAGAAAAATCTCTGCAATACAAACACTTATTTTTGTTTCGTTTTATTGCAATAAACTTAGCTAACATTTAGTGCTAAATGCCCTAGATGAGGGACAGGAAACTTTCTGTAAAGAGTCAGAGAAAATATCTCCGTCCTTGTGGGCTAGAAGGTCTCCGTCGCTACTACTCAACTCCGCTGTCGCCGCTGTGTTCAGCCACAGACAATATGTAAATGCATGTCGATGGCTGTGTTCCAGTAAAACTTTATTTACAAAAACAGGCAGCGGGCCAGATTTGTCCGTAGGTCCATAGCTCGCGGACCCCTGCTCTACACCATTATTTCACTTAATCCTCAAATAGCTCTTTATAACAAAGGCTGTTAGCATTCCCTAGATTGTGTGTGTGGAAAATAAGGTTTAGAGAGAGTAAATGACCTGCCCAGGTCATCGACTCGTGGAATAGAAAAAGTCTGGAAAGAGACACATCAAAGAGAAGCAGCACAGTTCACGGCGGGAGAGGGGAATGAAGCTGCCCTTTCCCTAGTACGCGCCCTTTGTTTTACAACGAACATACACACCACGTGGTCATTTTTTAATTACATAAGACGTACATCCCAGCAGGAAATGAATGAAGGTTAAATGAAAACAGGCTTTACGAGCTCAGGGAAACTCACGACCTGCCCTGTGCTCTCTGTTGATCTGGTGTCAGTGTGGACCAACGCTACGGAGCTGTTGGAGCAGTCGGTGGCCGAGGGCATTCCCGGGACAGCCCCTTCCAGGGAGATTTATGTGGAGCAGGACCTGGCCCAGCAGAATAAGGTGAGGGGTGTCCGGGGAAGCACAGGCCACAGCAACGAGCAGGGCCGTGGAGGCACTGTCCTTTGGGAACTGCGCCCTCCATCCCCAGGAACATCATCGCCCACCACACTGTCCTGAGCACCTACTGTGTGTCGGACCACGTCCTATGCACTTGACATTCAGTTAACCTGTAAATCTTCACCATCTTGAAAATTGAATTATTTTGTCACCCTCACTTTACAGATGAGGGAACTGATGCTCAGAGAGGTTAAGTCACTTGCCCAAGGTTGCACAGTGTGAGGGGCAGAGTTGGAATTGAAACGTCGGTCTGGTGAACCTCTAAGCTGGTACTTCCAACCACGAGGGATGGGCGGGGAAAATGTGTTTCCCAGCAGGAAGAGGTGAGCGCGAGGTCCGAGAGGACTGAGTGGAGAGAGAGAACCAGAGAGGTTCAGAGCGTGAAACGGGGTCGGGAGCCAGAACCGGTGAGTGCAAGCTATCCTGGGAAGGATCTAGGTGGATTCCTCCCTGAGGCAGGACCTGAACATTACCCTGAAAGAGCAGTCATGTGACAACTGGCTTCCCAGAGGCCCAGGGCAAAACCTGCAGCCTCCTTTGGAGTTCTGGTTAGAAACGGGGTGCGGACGCAGGTGTCCTGGGACCAGACTTCGAGAAATGTGGCAGTAAGGGGACAAGCCAGGCTGCTGTCTCAGTTATCTATTGCTGTGTAACAAGCCACCCCAAAACTTAGTGGCTTAAAGCAGCAATTTATTATTTCCCAGGATCTGGGGCTGACCAGAAGGTTCTTCTGCTGGCGTCCCCTGGCCTCACTCATGTCACTACCGTGGGTCGGCGGCCTCTTAAGAACTTGCATAGAGATTGCCTAGCATCCCTTCCACCGCATCCAAAGCCAGAGCCAGCCGAGTGCGGCGGGGGTGGGGGTGGGCAGACTCCACCACTTGGTGGCGAAAGCTGCAAAGTATTTGTAACCCTTTTCCAACTCACCCCAGTTGTCAAACTGGAAAAAAAAAATGTGACTGCATTTATATTTTTTTCTATTTACGAGCCACTTCTGTCCTGACTTGCCAGGACCCCTTCAAGTACATGTGACGAGGAACAAACTGGTTTAAGCCAAAAGATGGAAAAGCACCATTGGCTCCTTGCTGGGAAACGAGAAGGCCTCGAGCTTCAGGCAGGGCTGGAGCCAGGCTCAGATGATGTCATCAGAACAGTCCCCACTACCGATCTCTCTCGGTCCCTACAGCAGGCTGGCTTCATGTGTGGGAAAGACCAACTCAAGCCACCAAGCCTAGGAATTTAAAGTGACGACCCCATAGGAGTCAGGCTCCCTTCTCTCTTAGTTGACCTGTGAAAGCTCTGAGAAGACTCTGATGGACCAGCCTGAGTCACGGGCTGGGGGAGGGGGGACAGGAAGGAGCAGGGCACAGGATTTCCAGTCTTACCAAGACCCCAGGGAAAGGGGAGCTCTCTCTCAAGGAAGGGACAGGGTCCTCCCCCAGAAAGGCAGAAAACACAGCTAGACACCATACCCTGCAGGCTTTTTAAAAAAATATATTTTTTCTTTATTGATTTGAGAGAGAGAGGAAGGGAGAGGGAGAGAGAGATAGAAACATCGATGAGCGAGAACATTGATTGGCTGCCTCCTGCATGCCCCCCACTGGGGATCGGGCCCACAACCTGGGCATGTGCCCTGAACGGGAATAGAACTGGCGACTTCTTGGTGCATGGGTCAACATTCAACCAGTGAGCCACACCGGCCAGGCCTGCAGGCTTCTTTATACTTCAGTGCCCAGCTGGCACGTAGTAGCTGCTCAATACGTATTCGATCCATGAATAATTAATGAGCACCTGGCTGAGCATGGAGGCTTTGGGCTACTCATCACTGGGTGAAACCAGGGAGGCTGCCCAGGAGACAGAATGTTTGATGCCACCCCTTGACCTTTTGCCACAAGCGTTTGCAAAGACTCAGGAAAGATCCTTGGCAGCCGTTGGCAGTGCCCAGCAGGCTTCCCCATGACCCTGTCCTGCCCCAGGCCCAGAGCTGGAAGGTCGTGAGGCTGATCGGACAGCTCCCCAGGGAACGCTGGCCTGGAAATCGCCCACTTACCTCCTTCCAGCCAAAGGGAAATTGTTGGAAGAGCGGGGATTCATTTCCAAGCGGAAATTCTATCGCTGCCTTTGAAAATGCATCTGGGAAAATTTTCTCAGTCTTTCTGACATTATATCAATGACTTCTGGTGACGAGTTTGGGTTTTGTTTTGTTTTTCCTTTTGGGGGGACCCTCACAAATTCTTTGCGCAGCTTTTTCGTTCAGAGAGATGGAGGACCAGGGTAATTGTACCTGTGGGTAAAGTCGGCCAGCAATGTTCTTTCCACCCAGAGTCCCTATGAGCATAAACAAATCACCACCCCTGCCTCGTCCACCTCCCAGGTTCGGTTTCCTGCAATAATTCTTCACACGAGTAACCAAAAGAGGCAGGGAGCTGTGCCAGGAGAGTGGAAAGAGGAAGGAAATATTTCAGAATGTATTAAAATTTTTTGAAGTTAAAAAATAGCCCTCATTATTAGCAGAATGTGGTCGGATAGAATGTCGTTTTCCTAATTACCTTTCCTAGGTCCCCAAGGAACTGGGCTGAATATTCTAAATTTTTTAAAAAAAATATGATAAATAAAGTTTCTAGCAACCAAAGTTCCCAACAGGGATGGTGGTTCTCAGCGTGAAAGTATAATTCTAGGGAAAAGGAAAGTGTCAGTGCTCGGGAGGAATCCACAGGTAGATCATTGTAACCACACTTTGCCCCAGGAGGTTTTCCCAGCGACCGAGAGAGCCTGCCTCTCCCCTCTCCGCCTGCCCTCGCCTTCCTAAAAGAACCACCACACTGTTCCTGGGTGTTTACATGGGCTTGGCCTTGCCCCCAGACCCACCCGACCGAACGCCCCCTCTGGCCTCCACCCAGGATGAAGTCATCCTGCTGCTGGGAAGCGAAGTCAGCCGGCTCTCGGAGTTCGAGCTGGAGTCCAAGTACAAAGACGCGGTGATCGCGAGCCTGCAGAACGAGCTGGCCTGCCTGAGCCAGAAGCTGCTGGAGACCAGCGCCTCCGGGGCCGAGGGGCTGAGCCCCCAGAAGCTCCCCGTCCTGGATGAAGACCTCGACGCCAACCAGAGAGAGATCCAGAGCTTGAAAAGCCAGGTAGGACTCAGACAAGTCCCTCGAGAGCGTAGAGTCACGACACAGGGTGCCGGCTCTCAGGTGGAGCCCGAGGAGGACGGGGGAGCCACACGGGCAGCTGGGAAGGGGGCGGCAGCACTGCATTGTGGGTAAGAACTCGGATCCCAGGGATTCGAGATGGGCAGGATTCTCACCTGGTAAGAACCATATTAACCTTTTTTTTTTTTTTTTACTGTTTTAAATTGATTTTTTAGAGAAACAGGAAGGGAGGAAAAGATAGAAACATCGATTTGAGAGAGAAACGTCATCAGCTGCCTCCTGCACGCCCCCTACCTGTTTTGTCCAAGTACATGGATGAGGACGGATATTTCCCACATGCCTTTTTTTTTAATTCAAAATATATTTGACATGTAACATTGCACAATTCCCACAAATCTCTGTCGAATCTGTTCCACTGGCTCATCGTGCCGTTGCCTTCCCTGCCCTTGGCCTTCACTGATGACGAAGGAGAATATTCATTACAAGGCCTATCTGAACAAGGGGCTGTGGTCGGCTTGAACGCAAAGCCAGTCTCATCCACTCATATTTTAGTTCCTTACACATTCTATTGCTCGCAGCACATTCACCCAGAAGCATACGCTGTACGGCAGTCTGATTCGTTGGCGTGATGGTTTTCTCTGCTCCCCTGACCCCGACAGTACTGCGCAATGACTTGCCCTCAGGTCTTCAACCCGCTACAGTAGCGCTAGAAAACGTTTACCTCGGTGCACGCCTGTTCACAGGTACTAACTAGCAGTCCATCATTATCTTTTTTCTTTTTTTTTATCCTCACCCGAGGATATTTTTCCATTTATCTTCAGATAGAGTGGGAGGGAGGGAGGGAAAGAGAGAGAAAAAAAAACATTGACGTGAGAGAGACACATTGACCGGTTGCCTCCTCACGACCCCGACCAGGGCTGGGACCGAACCACAACCGAGGTCTGTGCCCTTGGCCGGAATCGAACCTGTGACGCTCTGGTCCGCAGGCCGACGCTCCACCTGCTGAGCCAGACCCGCCAGGGCTCGGACTGCAATCTCGAGCAATCACCCCACCTAGCGCTTCAGCTCTGTTACGCTGCGGTGCCCACACAGCAGAGCGGGTGGCAAGCTTCGTGGCATTCATGCCAGTTACAGACAACAGGGATGTTTACTTTGGTCGCAAAAGAAATGAAGGGGTTTGAGGACTATTTGGAGTTTTCCCACCATCTGGAATCTGAGAACTCTGATACTTCCATGGAAACATTTTGTCTGTCGGAAGCACTGGAGGTCTGGGGGCGGGTGTTCCCCACTCCCTCTGGGTGCCTCTGTGAGCCTCTGGTGTCATGCAGATGAAAGCATGAAGCCCAGAAGAGCTGGACACATTTTTTTTTTCTTTATTGATTTTAGAGAGAGAGAAAGGTAGAGGGAGAGAGAGAGAGAAACATCGATGAGAGAGAACATCGATTGGCCGTCTCCTGCATGCCCCCCGCTGGGGGTCGGGCCCACAACCTGGGCATGTGCCCTGACTGGGAATTGAATTGGTGACCTTTTGGTGCATGGGTCGACACTCAACTGCTGACCCACACCAGCCGGGCTGGAAACACTTTTTAAAGATCATCTCAAGTGCCCTGGTCGGTTTGGCTCAGCGGTCAGAGCGTCGGCCTGCAGACCAGAGAGTCCTGAGTTCGGTTCCCGCTAAGGGCACGAACATCGGATGCAGTTTGTCCTGCCCCGGGTGGGGTCAGGTGAGTGGCAACCAGTCAATGTGTCTCTCTCACATCGATGATTTCCCCCCCACACACACACTCCGCTCTATCTGAAGATAAATGCAAAAATGTCCTCAGGTGAGGATTAAAAAAAAAAAAAAAAAAAAGATCATCACAAGTTCACAAGTACCTTTTTTGGAAAAGTTGTGTTTATCCCACAGAGAACAGTAAGAGGGAAAAGAAAACATTCACTCAGCGTTTCCAAAGCACAAACGTGCAAAAGCATAGCCTCGGGAAGGGTGGGCGACAGTGACCTTTGTCCCCCCAACTTCTAGCATACACCCTACCCCATGTCTAGATGCCCCAGGGGAAAAGTAAATATAACTGCCCCAATATCACAGTCTGAACCATGATGGTGCAGGAAATGGGTCAGAGAATGAAATGAAACTTTAATGGTTCTGTTGATTCTATCTCAGCAAGGACTCGATTTTCTGGGACAAAAACCAAAAACAAAGATCACGAGCACCATCTGGTGGTGAGGTCCTCACCTACACTATGTGAGCGTGCCCCACCCCCACATTTTTTGTGCCCCACCCCCATAATTTGTGTGCTATGCCTACAAATTATGACCATTACTAGGGATTCCTGTATTTATTCTGAACATTGATCCCACTAGTGTTTATGTAAGCCTAGAGAAGGCTTACAAATGCACCCCAAAATACCACCAATCTACCTTCCCCCGAGGCAGACGAGAGAAGCTGAAGCAAAAACATGCTGTGGGTAGCCCAGCCAGTGTGGCTCAGTGGTTGAGCGTCGACCCATGTACCAAGAAGTTGTCAGTTCGATTCCCGGTCAGGGTACATGCCCAGGTTGTGGGCCCGATCCCCAGTGGGGGGCATGCAGGAGGCAGCCAATCGATGTTCTCTCTCATCGATGTTTCTATCTCTCTCCCTCTCCCTTCCTCTTGCTCTAAAATCAATAAAGAAAAAAAATTTATAAAAACGCACGCTGTGGGTGGTCAGCTGCGTGGACAGTCACAGCGGACACCCCCATACCGTGTGCCCGGCGTGATCCAAGCACTTGAATGTACACTAACTCGTTAAAACCTGTTTCACAATCCGATCGGACTGGGACGTCCATCACCCCATTTAGAATGAAGCATGGAGCAAGGTCGGTGTCCTCCCAGGTTCCCACGTCTTGGAAGTGGCGGCACCACCAGGGCCACCCGGTGCCTCACAGCCTCCAGCTTGTCCTGCAGCCACGGGCCACGGCGGGGAGGCCTGGAGCTAACCCTGGACTGACCCCTGACTGCACCTCCACGGGCGGGGCGACCAGAGCAGGCCCTCTCCTCTCTGCGTCCCGGTGTGCTCATTTGCAAGACGGGACCCCTAATGGTTCCCGCAGCCTGCAGAGAGGCTGTGACAAGCTGTCAGAGACGCAGCACCGGTGAACGGGGAGCTCTGGAGTGTTCTATGAGACACAAGGACTGTCCTATCAGTGGAGGGAGTTAGTTCTGTAACCTGCTCCCCTCTCTCGAACTCCCCTCTGCCTGCAGGGGTGCTGGACGACCTGAAACCAAGGGCTAGTGTATTTATGGCTGAGGGCTCAAAGGTCCTAGGAAGGCACCTTAGGGGATCAGGTATGCCAGCGGCTGCTGTGCCCGAGCCCCTGTGTGGGCACAAAGATAAGCTTCGTGTTTTGATGCCATAGGAAACAGTGGTCACCGAGGGAGCAGAGCCTCTCCTGTCCCTCCCACCCGTTGAAACTAAAAAGCCTGGTTTCCCCAACACCCCAACCCCAGATCAGTCCAGCCTTTTGTCCAAGCGGGAGAAGTAGCGGTGTGCCCTGCAGAGCGGGGCCGGCCCTGACTGTGCGTTGCCTCGCCCACAGGTCAGTGCCCTTCAGCAAGGATACAGCCAGGTGCTGTGCCAGACCCTGTCCGAGAGGAACTCGGAAATCACATCGCTCAAGAACGAGGGCGAGAACTTAAGGAGGGACAACGCCATCTCGTCAGGTGAGCCGTCAGAGGCGGGCCTCAGGGCTGGCACCTGCCTGCTCATTCCCACGCACGGCGGACAGCGCCGTCCACCACTGTCCCTTTCCCCCTGGGCCGTGTGGCCTCGGAGACCTGCTCAGCGGCCCCCCTCCTGCTCATTCCCACGCACGACAGACAGCGCCGTCCACCACTCCCCTTTCCCCCGGGCGGTGTGGCCTCGGAGACCTGTTCAGCGGCCCTCCTCCTGCTCATTCCCACGCACGACAGACAGCGCCGTCCACCACTGCCCCTTTCCCCCGACCTGGGTGGTGTGGCCTCCCTCCTGCTCATTCCCACGCATGACAGACAGCGCCATCCACCACTGCCCCCTTCCCCCCTGGGCGGTGTGGCCCCGGAGACCTGCTCAGCGCCCTGTCGGCAGCCAGCGGGGGTCAGTGAAGTAGAGTTGCCCCTAAGAGAGGTGTACTGCCATCCTGTTCCCAGGGCGGGACCTGCTAAGCATTCGAGTGACTGTTATCTCTTAGCTAGAAGGCCTGCTGAGCACCGGCCTCACCAGGAGAACCCGGGACACTGTGGGGCTCGGGCAGTCCCCAGCCAGCCTGCCCTGACACAAACTAGAATGTGGACCCCATGGGGTCACCGCGCTAAAGCGTTTCACCCTCATGCTCTTGGGCCCCAGAGGAAACATCTCTCTAACTGGCCAGCAGAGGTGGTCTGGGGTGGGGGGTGGGCAGCCACGCCGGGTCCAGGGCACGGCTGTTTCTCAGCCTGGACCCCTTCATTCCTTCGACACGTTTACTGAGCACCTACTAGGTGCCGGGCCTGTTCTCGGTGCTGAGGAGAGAGCCCCGAACAAGATAGATCCCTGAACTCACAGGGCTCAGGTCTGGGAGTGGGTGACAGACAAAGTGAGTAAACAGGTAGATCAACAAGCCCATTGCAGAGAGAGCGGGCAGCACGGTGCGAAGTGCTTCAGGGGTGAACGAAGGGAGAGTGGGCAGGCGGGGCCGGGGCTCTGAGGGGTGGAGGGGAGAGCAGAGATCACACGTGCACAGTCCCTGGGGCCGGAGCAAGTGGCTGCAGCCCATCGGGCCGGTGGTGGGAACAGGGCCTGTGGGGCTAGACCGGGACGGGGAGGCAGGAGCTCGCTCTCACGGAGCAGTCTGAGTCTCAGTCTGAGGGGGACGTGAAGCCACTGGGGTTTTTAAAGCAGAAAATACCATGTCTAGAGACTGGGAGGGGATGGGGTCAGTAACGGAAAGAGGAGGAGAGAAGCAGGCACCGAGTCTGGGTTGGGGCTGTTCTTACAGCCACCAGGACACAGCATAGCATTGAGCCATGTGTGAATCGCCGTCTCCGAATCTGTGTGCTGCACCCCGGGCCAGCCTGACCGCGGGCTCTTCCTCTGCCTCAGTCTTTACACACACCTCCACTTGCCTCTGCCTCACCCTGTCAGGCCTCTGCGCATGCCCCTGTCTAGCTCGGAATAGCCGAAGATTATTGGCCGAGCGCCCCTTACGGGCCCGGCACTGCTCTGGGCACCAGAAACAAAAGGATGAATCTGCCGGTCCCTTTGCATTCCTCCCCCCATCCACGCTCCAAGCCTGTCTCAGGTGCCACCAGCATCGGCAGTCCCTGGCTCACTCCCCGAGTCTCAGGCCCCAGCCCAGACCTCCCGAGTCAAGAGGATCCCTGGGGTTCTGTCCGCACCCACGAGTCTGAGAGCACGGGCTGGGTTATGCTGCTGTAACGAACAGCCCCCATAGCCACTGGGCCACAGCCGGCTGATGGCAGCGGTGATGACAGTAACCCTTGCTGCCTCTTTGACCTCAGGGAGTCTTGTTCTTAAAACAGGGATGGTGTCCTCTTTGCAAAAAGAGGTATTAGCAAAGGATGAGCAAGTTCAACAACTCAAACAGGAGGTGAACCAACTGAAAAGTGAGAACAAAGAAAAGGATCACCAGCTGGAAGCCCTCAGCTCCAAAGTGAGTGTCAGGAGACACGGTCTTCGCGTCTGCCTCGGGCCCAAAAGTTCCCGCCTTCCCTGGCACCTCGGTGCGCTGTGCCCAGTGCCCAAGGGCATGGGGAGGACAGCTGCTGGGGGGTAGGGGGGTGTCACCTGGAAAGACTAAAAGCTGGGGGCCAAGTTCTTTGCAGCTTTTCAAAAGATAGCACGGCCCTGGCCGGCTTGGCTCAGCGATTGGAGCGTCAGCCTGAGGACCAATGAGTCACGGTTTGATTTCAGCCAAGGGCACGTACCTCAGTTGCGGTTCATCCCCGGCTTGGGTTGGATCATGTGGGAGGCAGCCACTCGATGTGTCCCTTTCACGTGAATGTTTCTCTCTCTCTCTCCCCCTCCCACTCTATCTGAACAAAAATGGAAAAATGTCCTCTGCTGAGGGTAAAAAAAAAAAAAAAGCACATATGTGGCTCAGCAGAAGTAGGAGGTGTACCCAAAGCCAGCCAGCGTTTCCAACAACCAGCACCTGGTCAGCACGTCGGCCACGGCGAGGCTTAGCGTTCAAGCAAGGGGTAGGCTCGGTGCCCCCGGCAGAGTGCTGGAGGGGCCAGATGCACACGAGACCCTCACTCCTGCCCGTAAACGTCAGTGCGCCCAAGAATTCCTCTGGGTGAGCGAGCCTGGTAGGCAAGGTCAGACCTTTTTAGATGTGACTTCGACTATTTATTTACAAGCTTTGCCTTCAGTCCTGACTCCAGAACCCTCCTCTGCGGGTAAGGTTTCTTCGTGTCTGTATGATCTGTCTGTTTCAATGCGCCAAGGAAAACGTAACAGCTTCCATCTCAGGTGGCGACTCAGATTCGAAGCGGCTGCCGGATCAGCCGGCGCTGTCCTCGTGGGTGCCGGGGGGGAAGTGACTGCGACGTTCCCGAGAAGAGGCAGAAGCATCGTCTGGTGCTCAGCACGAGACCCAGTTGGGAGCTGGTGAAAGGCACAGCCTGGTCCGGCTTTGGGGTCAGGCAGACCAGAGTCCGACCCCAGAGCTTGCTTTTATTGTAACAAACTCATTTTCTGAGGAACGGGAGGCTGGTTTTAATTGTGTGCTGCCTCTGCCCCTGGTCGGCTGGCCCGGCAAGCTTTCTGCCTTTGCTTCTCCTGAACACATTGGCGTCCTCGGCCCCTCTGAGCGTGTGTGTGTGTGTGTGTGTGTGTGTGTGTGTGTGTGGTGGGGGATGGGTTGTACACAAATGCTAAGTGGGAGAAATATGGAAAAACAGCACCTTTAGGCTATTCTACTCCCTGAAGTGCATGCAGATTGTTTTTCTCCCATTTCCCCCTCCTCCTTGACCTTAGAACAAGGTCTGCCTTCTTGTCCAGCCTGTGCTGTCCATCAGCACGAGGCTCCTCCCACCCAGGGCATTGCTCTCGCGAGCGTTCGAGATGCCCAGCTTTTCAAAAATTATGTACGTCATGGTGTTAATTTTAAACAAGTATGTAGATGGCATTAGAAAGCAAAATTAAAAAGAGAAGAAAGGAAATACTGCTCCAAGAAATCAACGTTAGTCTTTTAATGTCTATTCTTCTGGTCCTGTTTTTATGTATTACCTAGAAGTAAATAAATGATGCATTTATATCTCACAGTGAATTTATACCATGCACATTCATTTTTAAATCGTAAATGCTTACAGTTTTCCCACGTTGATAAATAAAAGCTTTTATCATTGGTCTTAAAAGCTACATAATATTTTCCTGGGTGTATACAGTACAGTAAAGCAGTCCCCTGTTGTTGGACACTCAGGTTGTTGTTGTTTCTTTAACGTTGGTAACAATGCTGAGAAGCACATCCCTGAATCTACAGATTCGCTGATTTCTCTAGTCATTGTGATTAAAATATATTTCTAAAGTGGGAATTTCTGGGTCGAAAAGAAGGCACATCTTGCCCCGACTGGTGTGGCTCAGTTGGTTGGAGCATTACCCCATTTGCCAAAAATTTGTGGATTTGATTCCCAGTCAGGGCACATACTCAGGTTGTGGGTTCGATCCCAGATTGGGCCACATATGTGAGGCAACCAATCGACGTTTCTCTCTCACATCAATGTTTCTTCCCCCCCCCCCCACCTCTTCCTCTCTCTGAAATCGGTAAGCACATCCTCAGAGGAGGGTTTTTAAAGAGAAGAAGGAGGAGGCACATCTTTATGTTCTTAATGCTGTGGCTGAATTACCCTTGAAAGGCTGTTGCATTTACCCTTCCGCACCAGGGCAGTTGCATCTTTGAGATGCGACCTGCATAAGGCAGGAAGAGCCGTCCAAGTTCATTAGTGAGCCCCCCCCCCCAACCCCAGTGCTCCCGACAGCTGAGCTCAGCGGGTCCAAGAGGGAACATTCTGCTCCTCCACCCTAAGCGCCCAGACTCTGCAAAGCTGGGTTTCCCCTGCGGTGCAGCTGGCTGGCTTTGGAAAAGAATTTAGATGCTTTCTTCCTCAGAACTCACGAGCAGGGTGCACTAGGAGCTGCCGCGGATCCCACGCACCCGTCGGCACAGATGGGCTTGCCTCTCGGAGTCTGGGGGTGTGGTGGGATTGGACAGCAGCAGATGCCCTGAGAGGCCCACACGGGGATTTGGGACCCCAGACAACCCCACGTGGCCTTGTCTTGTTTTCTCCACAGTGTTCAGTGCTCAAAGAGGCATTAAAAAAGGAAAATGCTCAGAAGGAGCACCAGGAGGCCCAAGAGAAAGAGTTAAAACTCTGCAGATCCGTGAGTTGAGCGTCCTCATCCCCAGATGTCCACAAAAAAAGCTTTGACCTTCAGGTTTTGGCGAGAGTCCTTGGCCCATTAGACAGCACCAACTCTGGGGTTTTTTGTTTGTTTGTTTTTTAAATGGTTTTATTGGTTTTTAGAGAGAGAGGACAGGAGAGGGGGAGAGAGAAACATTGATGTGAGAGAGAAGCATCAAATCGTTGCCTCTCATACGCACCCTGATGGGACCAAACCCACCATCTGGGCATGGGCCTGACCGGGAATAGAACCAGTGACTTTTCGGTGCACAGGATAACACCCAGCCAACTGAGCCACACCGGCCAGGGTGAGTGAGCTCGGGCTTCATGATGGCTTGTGGTTAAGGCCCTCTCGTCCTTCTTCAGTTTTCTGCCTCTAGGAAGACGTGGGTGGAAAGACCATGGAGAACACTCTCCCAGGAGTCTCCGGGCGTTGGCCCAGCCCCTCGCTGGGTTTTTCTTGGAGCTGGGCTGGGGTTGGGCTGGGGACAGGGACGGGAGCCGGCCAGGTGGCCACCACATGCTGCCGAAGATTTACTGTGGTCCCTGCCCCTGTGGTGCTTAAACCATTATGTCCCATTGTCCCGCTTGCGTCATAGCCGTTACGTCATAGGCACCGTTACCGACCCAGAACTCTTCCTGAAGTAATTTTGTTTCAATACATCGATTTTACACTGATCCATAAAAACAAAACAAAAAGGCCTCATTCGCCTTATATAGATGGTGACTATTAAAAAGAAAAAAATACGGTGAAAATATGATCAGTAAAATGAAAATGTTCATTTCCTGGGCCCGGGGAACCCTCTTCCATGTCGCCGGGGATGCGGTTCCCACTCCCTGGACGCACAGCGCCTCCTACCGGAGGAGAGAGCTCTGATCCGTGTCAGGAGCATCCCTGTTCTCGGCCCCGTGGGAGGAAAGGCCATTTGCATTGTTTTGTTCTTCCAAACTGTGCCTATTATGTCTTCCAAACAGCTCTTATTTAAATTGATCTCAAAATATACCCCAAGAGAAGGCTCTCTAAGGAGCTGGTGGATATCCTGTACTGTTTAATCCAGGGTACACGCTGATGTTCAAACGAAACTAATCGTTGGCGTTTACCCAGCACTTTCAATATATCCACTGGAAAAGGTCTGCTTAGCTCTACAGATGTAGAACCCCCCCTCCTTCTCCCCCCTCCCGAGGGATAGACTCTAGCTAATCCCAGACTAGGTTTCCACCTTAATGAACCCAGTGAAGCGAGTTTTGGGGATCCAGCCCCTTCAGCCCAGAAGGCAGGTCCTGTGGGCCGCCAGGGCAGGTGACTTGTTGAAACCCTTTCAGAAAATCCAAGACATGGAGAGAGAAACGAAGAGGCTCAAGGAGGAGCTGAGGAAGAGTACGACTGAGCAGGGCGTGATCAGTAAGACGCTTCGAGAAAAGAGCAAGGTACGGCCCGGGCGGCGTTGGCCCAGTGACCCCTCTGGACCAGGCGCTCCACATGCATCGTCTCCACCAGTCCTTACAGGACCCTGTGTGGTCTATGCTGGTATTGACCCCATTTCACAGCTGGGAAAACTGAGGCTCACAGGGGTAAAGGAAGTTACCCCAGCTCATTCTGATAAAGTAGTTGTGGCAGGACTTGAACCCAGGTCGCCAAAGCCCCTGACTCCAGAGCCCCTGTGTATAACCACTACTCCAGACTGCCCTCAACTCTTAATTATAACATTATCCAGAGAAGAGTTGCTCCATTAAATCAAGTTTTCTAGTGATGTTGTTCAAACGTAAACGTTCTTGCTGATTGTTCTGTCTGTGTATTCCATCAGTCTTCGAGGGGGATTTGTTTTTTAAAATCTCATCATGATCCTAGATTTGTGTACTTCTTTTAATACTGCCAACTTTTGCTTTATATGTTTTGAGGCTGTATTACTGGGTGCATAGAAATTTATAATTTTAATACTTCCTGTTTGGGGAAAAAGAAAAACCCTTTGATCATCATAGAAATGCCCTTCTTCATCTCTAGCCGTATTTCTCCCCTAAAGTGTGCGTTGTCATTAACACAGCTTCATCAGCCACGTGGACTTTCTGCTGGTTAGGGCTTTCACAGAGCAGCTTTTGCATAATTTTCTGTCTGTCTTTGTTTTAAGTTTGTTTGTTTTTTCTCTTCTAAATAGTATGTCATTTGTATAAAGTCCAGACTGACAATCTTTGTCTTTTAGCCCATTTATATAAAATGCAGTTGCTGGTGTGTGTGTGTGTGTGTGTGTGTGTGTGTGTGTTTAAATATGTTTTTATTGACTTTTTAGAGAGAGCGAAAAAGGAATCGAGAGAGAGAAACATCCATGTGAGAGAAAAAGCAATTGGCTGCCTCCTGCATGCCCTCTACTGGGGATTGAGCCTGCAACCTGGGCATGTGCCCTGACGGGGAATCAAACTAGGACCTCTCAGTCCACGGGACGATGCTCAGTCCACTGAGCCACACCAGCCAGGCAGTTGCTGGTATATTGACTGGGGGTTAACTTCACCCTCTTGCTCAATGCCGGTTGAACTGAATTTCTTTTTCTCTCCTTTCTTGTGTTCTTTTGAATGGATGGCATTCTATCATTTCATTTTTGTCTCTGTTAGCTTGGAAATGTTTCACTCTTTAATTATACTTTGAGGAATAGTTAAGACAAGAGCATTTACCCTTGACTTGCCAAAATCCAATATCAATTGAGTTTTCCACTCTTCTAGTGGTCATCCCAAAGACTATAATGCATCAGTGACTCGCCAAGATCCAATGTCAGCTGATCATTACGCCCTTGTCTTTGACGACTTCACTGACCTCCCCCAGATTTATGCGCCCCCGGATCATTTTTAATCTGTCTGAGGCACAGCCTTGGGTGTTTTCCTTCAGTGTGGTTCTGCTGATGACAAATTCTCTCAGATGCGCCTGTGTCTGAAAATGTATTTTTAACCTTCATTCTTACAACACATCTTGACTGAGTACTGGATCCCACGTTGGCAATTACTTTCTTGCGATACCTTCTCGGTCGCTGCAGGTTCACCTGTCTAGTGTGTCTGGGTTCCTGTTGTTTCTGTTTCGAAGTCATCGCCACGCCTCACTAGGGTACCTTCGCAGAACCTGTTTTCTGCTCTCTTGATTCCCAGCAGTCTTCTTCTGCTCTGTCCAGGTGTGGATGTATTTTTGTGTGCCTTGTTCGGCGTTCACAGGGCTTCCTGAGCTTGTGGCACGTGCCTCGACCTGTCCTGCACGTGGGCTGTCCACCTCCTCGGGGCTCTCGCGGAGGACCGACGCCGTCACGTTTGTGATCGATGATCATGGTGAAACGGTAGCTGTAACCTCTCATGCAGTGTGCCCAACATGTCATCGCTTTCCATCCTCACACAGCCCTAGGACCTGGAAACTGTCCTTTCCACTTCACAGATGAGGGAGCCCCCAGGTGCCATACAGGAGGGAGCCCACAGTCCGTAAGTGGCAAAGCCAAGGTTGGAAGCCAGGTCCGCCTGGTGCCAACGACTCGGCCTAGCCGCCAGCCACCGGAATTTATCCAAATGGAACAAAATGCCAAGTTCCTCGGTCACACCCGCCACATCTCCAGTCTCTGGATCACGGCCCCGTGTGAGGCCGCAGACACGCAGCTTCCATCACTGCAGAGCTTGTACCAGACAGAGCTGCCCTGCAGCGGGCTGTCTGCCCCGCACCGCGAGGAAGTGCTGGGAGGACTGAGAATAGAGGCGAGGAGGCCAGAGTTCTCAGTGCCTGGCCGGGGCCTTGCGCAGGGTAGGAGCAGAGAAGCGGGGCGGATGTGAGAGACAGAGACAGAGGAGGGGGCAGCGGGAGGTGACTCAGGCTTGGGGTAGGGGGCGGGGGGACCGTTCATCGTGGCGGGGAATCTAGATAAGGGCGGAGTCCAGGGGTGCATTTTGCTTTCACAGCGTGAGAAAGAGTCTGCTGAAATAGAAGTCAGAGCACGTTTAGACCTGGGAGGATTGTTTATAGAGGAGACTAGGCCCAGAGAGGCTGGATGGCTTTTCCAAGGTAACACGGCCAGAGCCTCTTCCCTGGGACACACAGCTCAGAAGTAAGCAGTAGCCCTGGCTGGTTTGGCTCAGCGGTTAGAGTGTCGGCCTGCGGTCCAGAGAGACCCGGGTTCGGTTCCCGCTCGGGGCATGTACCTCAATTGCAGTTTGTCCCCGGCCCTGGTTGGGACATGCAGGTGGCAACCACTCGATGTGTCCCTTTCACATTGATGTTTCTCTCTCTCTCTCTCTTCCTCGCTCTCCCTCCCACTCTATCTGAACAAAAGATGGGAAAAGTGTCCTCGGGTGAGGATAAAAAAAAAAAAAGTAAGCAGTAAAGGGCTTTTCTGAGTCTTTTACTACATCTGTGTATCCATCCCCACTTCAGCTCCCTCATAGACAGCTCATGAATTTGGTTCAATACAAAATCCTTTCATTTGTTTAGGACAGGTTGCCTCATTTCCTGATCATGCCGGAACCCTGGGCTCAGCATGTGCTCCCAAAATATTCCTTGTTCAGAAATGAATTGAGCAGCTGCAGGTCTCGCAGTGGCCAGCAGAGGGCAGCGCCTAGCACTCCTAAGCTTCCCTCCAGTTGACTGTTACCCAGGCGAGGGGCACTAAACCTGCAAGCATCGGGCTTTAGATGCCTTCGCTTACAGGCTGCCATCCACTGCTGGCAAGCCTCCCACAGTGGGTGCCAGAGCCCTCTTAAGAAGTACTGCACTAGTCTAAACATTTTGAGTCCCCACTATAACTCTATGAGGCGGTACCAGCCATTCCCATTTCACAGATGAGAAAACTGAGTCACAGCGCAGGGAAGTAACCCTCCCAGGGTCATAGGGCTTGTTAGAGACTCAGCCGGGACTGGAGTCTGCGGTCGGACAAACGTAGATGAGTCCAGAATGCAGAGCTTGGCCGTTTTCCCTAGGAGCTGGGCACGCCTGTGACCCCTGCCCCTCGGGGGCTCCCCCAGGCCATTAGACCTCCCAGGGGGATTTCCCAGAGTGCATTAGGATCACATCAGCAGCAAGTGCCTGCTTTCATCATCCTTTCAGGTTGAAGAGAAGCTTCAGGAGGATTCCAGAAGGAAATTGCTTCAGCTACAAGAAATGGGGAACAGAGAGAGCCTCATTAAAGTCAATTTGGAAAGGGCAGTAGGTCAGGTAGGCTGCGTGCTCCAGAGCCCCCTCGTCGGCCCGCCTTCCCCGTGGATGTCCCGCACCCAAGTGGCTGGCGGGGCTGAGCGAGGAGGAAGACGGGTGTGGACGTTCTGCCCCCCAGCTCAGGGCAGAAGCTCCGTGTGGCCTCCGCATCCCAGTGGACGGCCTGGTGCTGGGAAGCCGCCCACTCGGGTTCACCGTCACCCGAGACCCGGCCCAGCAGCCACTCTCCAGCGCCTGCCCCCATTAACCAGCCGCACGCTGGCCCCTCCTGGGAGGGGCTTGAGCCTCTCGACCCCCGTGGTGTTTCTAGTGCCTTCGCCCTGACGTCTTCATCCTGACGTTCACCGTGTCCTTTCTCCTCGGGGCCCCCAGCAGATGTCACTGTTAGCGCCCGTCAGGAAATACCACTTTTCTTACGAAAGAAAAGCCCCAGAATGTCCAAGCTCATGAAAGATGGAGAAGTCTCTGGTCAGGGTGGTGAGCAGGCCTGGCCTGGCCGGTCTGGGTGCCATTTCTCTAACGCTCTGGCCCAGGATGGCCCAGTGGCCCTTCCTCTTACCCACCGCCCGACATGCAAATGAGACTTCACCGAAGGCTCAGGGAGAGCACGTGGGTGGGCAGCCAGGACGGGCACCAGCCTCCAGAACAGGGCCCGCCCGGGGCAGCCCACCCAGGGCTCCTCCTCAAGGGCCCCTCCTGACAACCACGGCTCCAGGGCATCCAAGGCTGGCCGGCGTGTACGTGTGTTCGTGTACGTGTGTACGTGTACGTGTGTTCGAGCCTTTCTTTTCCGGGAGGGAGGGTCCAGGGTGCTGCTCTGTGGATTCTCAGAAAGGTCTGTGAACCACCAGCAGAGGTTGGGGACTGTGATCCTCTGGGTCCTTCCCTCCCACCCAGCCTAGCGCCCAAAGCCCTCCCATGTGGTGGTGTCCGAGCCTGACCCAGCAGTGTGACCGGCTTTGTCAGACACACACACAGGTTAGTGATGGTGACGACAGGGCACATGTTGAAGCTCCTTCAACAGACATCCGCCACCGTCACCCCAGGGTCGTTTCTCCTGCAGGGTGCCGGCTCCTTCGCAAGGGCAGAGACCTGCCCACCTGGGTTCCCGTGTGCGCCTGGGCCCCCTCACCTTCCCTGCACGCTGCGCTCCCCACGCACACCCGATCTGAGGGCGTGCTCCGCGCCACTTGCGCAAGTGCCAGGTCCCGGTTACGACTCCAGGAAGAAGCCATCTTGGAGGGGACCCTCAGAGACACTGAGATTCCTTCAGGTCTAAACTCAAGAGAGAGATGAGCCCCTCTCTGTCCCCGGACTCTCCCACCCCCACCCCCTGTCTCCCGTCCCTGCTCTCTAGCTAAGATCTGCCCTCCCCCAGGCCAGTGACTGCGGGACTGAGCCATCACCCCAGAGAACCTGTCCCGCCAGCCCGAGCGGTCCTGCGGGTGCCCCTGGTGGCCATGGGCCACCCCTCACAGGACCCTCTCACACAGCCTCCTCCTGGGCGAGTTAGGACCCTCCCCTTGGCTGTAGGACCCAGCTGGCGTGGCACCCCGGTCGGCTCTGGCAGGCAGATCACGGGGGTGTCTTGGGGGGTCATCACTCCACTCCTTGGTCTCCCAGAACTCCATGGTGTGCCGTGAACCCCTGTGTCTTAGGACACATTGATTTTTCAGTTGATTCAGTGGCCCTTCTGGTCCCTTCAGAACTCTGAGAGTCTGAGCACATTTACCAGTGAACGAACACCCAGGCCAAGGGCCACCGTGCCGGCAAGTTCCCAGCTGGACTCGGGCTCCTCTGCCTCTCCCTTCTCGTGAAACCCGGGGCACCTTGAACTTGTAGCCCTGGCTTCACCGAACTGTGCTGTTTCACCCGCCGCCGTCTGAAAACCCCAGCGCCAAGGAGGCCCTTGAGAGCGGGGTGGGCGGGGGCAGGGGGGCCCTTGTCCTTGACAGATGTCTGTCTCGGCACTCAGTGGATTTTCATTGAGAGCCTGCTCCGTGCCAGGCACTGTCCCAGTCACTGGGGACACAAAGGGGACTACAAGGGACAGTCCTCAGGACACGTCCTACGGTGTAAAGCGCGGAACGGCAGAAGGGAGTGGATTCTTCTGTCCCCGGCACCCTTGTGAGTCCAGCGCTCACTTGGGCTGCCAGCCTCCGTGTTTATTTCACGGTCCGGTGCCGGCTTAGCAATGATGGCAGAGGGCTCCCGCCCCGCCCCGCCCTGGGTAGCTGGCAGCACGCGGTCCTGAGGGCGTGAGCCGTGCCCGTCCTGACCCCACGCGTCGGTGCGTTAGGCAAGCAGGCGGGCCGCAAAAGTAATCCAGACCTGCTGGTCCCGTCCCTTCTGTGGGCACTGCCTTCCGGTGAGAGGCGGAGATTGGAGGAGCCGTCGTGGCCGTTAACGGTGCTCCAACTCCCCGCCCACTTCTCCGGGGCCCAGGGACGGAGTGCGGCCCCTGACCGGCGCCTCGGCTTTGTCCTGCAGCTGGAGCACTTCCGGAGCCAGGTGATCAAGGCCACCTACGGGCGAGCGCAGCCGTTCCTGGGCGCGCCCGTCACCGATCAGCAGGTGGGTCCGCCTCTGGCGCTTCCTTCTCGGGGACCCGGGACTGCGGACGCTGGGAGCACGTCCCCCGCTTCTGTAGGTGACACACGTTTGTCACCATAGAGGTTGCTACATCATAGAGATTTGTTTAGATTTTATGGGATTTCCTGGCTTTCCAAGTAAAATGTTTGAGCTGTTTCTGTGAACACCAAGCTGAATCGCTCAGGGTGTTCCTGGTGGCCAGACAGGCACGTGCAACCCCGTTGGCAGAGTGACGAGGGGCTGTCGCACAGGCCAGTCGGCTTGTTCCTTCTGGAGAGGAAGGGGCAGTGAGGACCGCCTTCTGGCCGTGATGACGCTGATCATCCCCCGCCCCTCCCCCGCTGTGTCCGTGCACCCTAAGGACACCTGCCCCCCGCTGGCCTCAGGACTACCTGGCCCTCTCTCTATGAGCCCACAGCATCAGGCTGGGTTACGAATCGCCCCAAGACAGCAGAAAAATCGAGAACAAATGAACGGCAACAACACAGGCCTCACGATCTTATAAACCATCTCCAATCCTGGGGCCCGTGTCCCAGCGACAGAGCCGGTGGCCTCCTCTAGAGCCATTGCCAAAACCTGGCAGCACCTCCTTCCTCCCCCGCAGAGACCGGACGATGCCGCCCAGGTCCCTCCTCCCAGAGCCACCCTGTATTTTGCATCTTCTCTTCATCACCAGGTAATAGACAAGATCGCCCAGGTCACTGAGGACAGCATCAGCCTCCAGCAGAGAAAGTGGAGCCAGCAGAAAGAGACCCAGCTCAGCAACTCCAGACAGGAGATCGCAGAGAACATCGAGAAGCTGACCATGTCCCTAGACAGCTGCCAGGTGGCCCCTCCTCTGCTTTGCACAAATGTCCCCTTTGTCTAAGTTTGTGCTGCTGGCTGGGAAACTGTCCCGCCTCTGTGGAGCCGGTTGGGCAGAAACGCTCGGCTTCTGTGCCCACCTTTTCTCTCCTTGGAGAAACACGTTTGAGAACAGAAAGCAAAAGACCTCAAAAAAAAGCCCCCAGGTGGCCCGCCCGGTGTTGAGCATGGACCCATGCACTAAGAGGTCACCGGTTTGATTCCCGGTCAGGGCACATGCCCAGGTTGTGGGCCCGATCCCCAGGGTGGCGGGGGGCGGGGGGGCATGCAGGAGGTGGCTGATCGATGTTCTCTCTCATTGATGTTTCTATCTCTTTCTCCCTTTCCCTTCCTCTCTCTATAACCAATAAAGAAAAAAGAAAAGACTTTTTAAAAAATTAAAAAATAAAAATTGCCCCCAGGTGAACTTGGTGTGTCCAAGGAAGAGATACCTCCAAGTACTGACACAGGAGGTCTTGGACCCCGATGGGGAATGAAATAGCCCCCTGTTATTTCCAGAGAAGCATTCCGCTCTCTATCTGCCTTTTCCTTTTGGCCCAGCCACGGAAAGGCTGTTCTTGGCCTTTGGCAGTGGAGGGCACGGGACCAGGGCCTGGCGGAGCCGCCACGGCCCCCACCCCAGGATGCTGCTTATCAGAGCGGGCAGCTGCTTCTGCTTCTCTGGAAATCAGCAGCTACTATTTGGGGAGTTTGTGCCAATGTTGGCGAGTCAGCTCTTTCAAATCAGGAACCTGCTCTTTCTGACCGGCTTGTGTGTTGATCTCAGCAGGAATTTTGACGAATAAAAATAGCCAAATTCAGTTCTCATTGCAGCCTATTGTCCTTGTGGATTTGGCTTTGAAATCGAATACACAAACGTGGGGTCTCTTTGACCACCAAAAGTCCAAGTTAGAGTGCAATCAAAATAAAAGCTCACCCCCATCCCCTCACCCCACCCCACCAAAAAAAAGTCCAGGTTAGAGTTCAGTCAAAATAAAAGCTCACCCCCATCCCCTCACCCCACACCCACCCCTGCCCCCCAAATGCAAATAAAACTGGACAGAGCCACCCCACGACAGCTGACATGTGACCCTGCCTGCTTCATGGCAAAGTCAAGAACGTCGTTTTTCACAGGTCACAGCAGATACCATTTTGGGCGGCAGTGGTGGGCTTCCCATGACCTCGTCTCTTTCCAGGCGTGCATGAAAACGGCTTGCTGTAGCAAGGACCTGGAGAAGGAGGTGGCTCTTCTTCGGTGCCTCCAGGTGAGCCCACCTGTCTCGGGGCTCCAGAAGGTGGCGCTGGACATCGTGCACCTGTCGCAGTCCTGGCTGGAGGACACGGAGCGTCTGCTGGGGGATGTCGGGATCCAGCTATCCAGCTCCGACAAAGGTTACTGGAACTTTTTTTCTCGCTTAGCTGCATGACTCTAAAATGTCGCGTTGAGTCTTCTCACGACGGGACAGCTGTTGAGGGAGGCGTCTTAGGCGCGTGGCCAGGTATCCCCTTCTCCAGGCTTGCCTTGGGTCTCCACTTGAGAAGCGATTTGCGTTGAAAACAACACGTGAGACATGGTTACCGAAGGGGAAAATGAAACGTGACAAAGACCAAAGGAAAATTAAATCAAAATTGTACCAAATCTTATCTCTCAGTAATAACTACTGTTATATACTTACAACATATATTTATAATTTGTTCATCCTCACCTGAGGATATTTTTTCCATTGATTTTTTTTACAGAATGGGAGGAAGGGAGGGAGGGAGAGAGACATCGATGTGAGAGAGATACATAGATTGGTTGCCTCCCGCATGTCCCTGAGATCGAACCTGCAACCCAGGTATGTGACCTTGATCAGGAATCCAACCCTCGACCCTTCAGTGCTCAGACCAAGGCTCTAACCACTAAGCCACACCAGCCAGGGAAACACACACACACACACACACACACACACACACATATATATATATTTTTTAAATCCTCACCTGAGGATATTTTTTTTATTTATCTTCAGATAGAGTGGGAGGGAGAGAAAGGGAGAGAGAGAAAAACATCGATGTGAGAAGGACACATTGACTGGTTGTCTCCCGCACGACCCCAACCAGGGCCAGGGACGAACCACAACCGAGGTACGTGCCCTTGACCGGAATCAAACCCACGACCCCTTGGTCTGCAGGCCGACACTCTACCGCTGAGCCCAACCGGCCAGGCAATACATTTTGAATAGATTTCATAAAGCATAGTTTTAGGTTACAGCAAAACAGAGAGAAAGCTCAGAGTCCCGTCCTGCCCTCCGCCCCACACAGCACCACTCTCCTCGCAGACACGGGCCCCGAGCGGTGTGCTCGCTACCACTGAGGGACCTGCTCTGACGTGGCATCACCACCCAGGGTCCACGTCAACGTTCTGTGGCCAGGAAACTACAATGACATGTATCCGCCATTCCATAGCATAGTATTTCCACTGCCCTAAAAATTCTCTTTGCTCTGCCGATTTATTCGCCCCTTCCCCTGGCTCCCAGCCCCTGGCAGCCACTGGTTTGTTGTCTCCAGAGTTTGGCCTTTTCCAGACGGTCATGCAGTTGGGGCCACACAGTATGTATCTAGCATTTCCAAGTTGGCTTCTCTCACTTAGTAACAAGCATTTACATTTCCCCCATGTCTTTCTATGACTTGATAGCTCCTTTCTTTCTTTCTTTCTTTTTTTTTTCTTTATTGATTTTAGAGAGAAAGGAAGGGAGAAGGAGAGAGAGATAGAAACATCCATGAGAGAGAATGTTGATTGGCTGCCTCCTGCATGTGGGGATCGGGCCCACAACCTGGGCATGTGCTGACGGGGAATCGAACCGGCGACCTCTTGGTGCCTGGGGTGACGCTCAACCTCGAGCCACACTGGCCGGGCAGCTCCTTTCTTTTTAGTGCTGAATGATACCCCACTGTCTGGAGGAGCCCCAGTTTGCTTATTCTGCTGCTGAAGGGTGCCCTGGCTGAGCCTGAGCTTGGCAGTTACGAGTAAAGCCGCCCTAGGCATCCGTGTGTGGGTCTGTGTGGAATACGTTTCCAGCCCCTGGGGCTGACTGTCCAGGAGCACTGCTGTGTGGTGCGGGAGCACATTTAGTTCTGGAAGCAGCCACCAGACTGTCTCCACGCTGCATTCCCACCAACAGTGAATGGGAGTCCCTACCGCTCCGCGTCCTCAGCAGCATTTGACACTGTCGCTGCCGCTGCGTCTTGTGCGTGACTTCCGAGACCCTCCCCAGGGAAGTAGCTGAGCGATTCCAGGCAGGTCGCTCCCCCTCCCTCTGCCTCAGTTTCCTTGCCAGCGAGTGGGGATAACGGAGTGCCCATCCTTAGGGTTGTTGTGAGGGTTAAAAAGCAATGATGTATGTAAAGTACTTAGAATAGTACCTGGCTTAGAATAGGCACTAGCTCCGTGTTTATTGGTTTTTCTAATTTTACCAAAAAAAAGAGTGTTTTCTTGCTAATGGTGCAGGGGGAGCACCGTTCTGTGTCAGTGCACAAATCTGCGTCACCCGTGACTGTCGGCGAGGAACCCACCGGGCACGGTGGTCACAGTGGATTCACCATCCTCCGTCACAGGCCGCTGAGTGGTTTACAGTTTTCTGCACTTACAGAAAATGCTGAAATAAACATTCTTGCACTTTCTTGTAACTGTTCACCTGGCCTTTACCATCCAGGAGGTGGGAGGACATGGACCACTTCCATCCAGCAAAGATGGATTGCATGCCTTTCAGACACCAGGCTCCGTGCAGGGCGGGGATAGAATGGGGTCAGAACCAGCAGAATCCAGGTCATGGGGTGTGTGGGTGTCGGCTGCAAAATTCCTCCCACTTTACATTGGAAAGTTTTTATAACAAAATGTTGGGGGATGTGGAATCAAGCACTATCCCTGCCCTTGTAGATCTTATGGTCTTAGGGAGGGATACGGATGGCATTAATTGAAAAATCACTCACAGTTGCCCAGCTGGTGTGGCTCAGTGGTTGAGCGTCAATCTATGTACCAAGAGGTCGCCCATTCACTTCCCGGTCAGGGCACATGCCCAGGTTGTGGGCCTGATCCCCAGTGGGGGCATGCAGGAGGCGGCCAGTCGATGTTCTTTCTCATCGATGTTTCTCTCTCTCCCTCCCTCTCCCTTCCTCTCTCCCTAAAACCAATAAAGAAAAAAAAAATTAGAAAAAAAATCACTCACAGTAAAACTTTAATGGTGATATCTGCTACAAAGGAAAGTCAGGGCTCTGGCCTGGTCAGGGAGGGCGGGCATCTGCAGGAGGCATAGGAGTTATTTGCCAAAGAGGGGAAGGAGGGAAGGGGACAGCAGCACTCTGCGTAAGGGAGCAGGGTGGGGGTGGGGTGCCTGGAAGATACAAGGGGCTGAATTTAGAAATGGGGTGGAGTGGGCAGGGCCTGTGAGGGTGGTCAGTAGGGGCCGTGTCACGTGGGGGCTTACAGGGCCCTGGAAAGGGGCTCTGCTTTCCCCCAAGAGCAGCAGGAAACCCCGGAAAGGTTTTAGTAAAGGGCTGATGGGAGGGGTTTGCACTTGGAGACAGTCGTGTTGGCCGTGAGTGGGAAATGCCCTGGAAGGCGGCCAGCAGGGAACACCAGCGAGGAGGCTGTCACGGGAGGTGACGGTGGCTAGCACTAGAGCACAGGGAGGGACGGAGAAAGAGAGAAGACTCTCGGGGCACTGGAGAGGTATATTAATAGGCCTCTTAAGAGGTATATTAATAGGGGCTGGATCTGGATGGAGGAAAGGTGACCGAGGAAAAGGGGTCTACAGACCTCCAGGTTTCTGACTGCGTGAAAGGGCAGATGTGGCTCCTACACTGAAATCCAGAGTGAGGAAAGCTGTATGAGGACCAGGTTTAAGGGTGAAGATGAGTGTGAGGTGCCTGAAAGACATCCAAGATGAGGTGCCAAGGACACAGCTGTCACCCTGGATGTCTAGTCTGCAAATAGATAGTAGTGATGTAAATGCAGAGAACCCAGAAAAACATGTGCCACACAGTGCAGGTGCTTAATACCTGTGGGATGAATGGATAGATGATGGATGATGGATGATGGATGGATGGATGGATGATGGATGGATGGATGATGGATGGATGGATGGATGGATGGATGGATGATGGATGGATGATGGATGGATGGATGGATGGATGGATGGATGATGGATGGATGGATGGATGATGGATGGATGGATGGATGGATGGATGGATGGATAGATGATGGATGGGTGGATGGATGGATGATGGATGGTTGATGGATGAATGGATGGATGGATGATGGGTGATGGATGATGGATGGATGGATAGATGGATGATGGGTGATGGATGATGGATGGATGGATAGATGGATAATGTATGTATGTATGTATGATGGATATTTGATGGATGGGTGGATAATTAAAGCCACATGTGTGAACGGTATCACTGAGCAAGAAATTACTGAGTGAGAAGGAAGAGCCTAGGGCCACACCCTGAGGAACTCCAACATTTTGAAGATCGCTGATACTCCTTCCAAATCGCTCTTCAGTGAGGCTGCATGAATTTGACATTTTTTACAGGAATGAGTAAGAATAGAAGAGTAATTTTTCAACTCTGGCACGTCTACATCCCCAGCCAGGATATCTCCAAAGTAATCCAGAAGGTGGTGTGAGTTTCTTCGCCAATTTTTAAAAAAGAAAAAGGAGAAAACAAGATTAACTTTTATGGAAGTGCCTGCCCCTCACATGTAGCATAGAGAAGAGGGGGCTGGTTTTCTCCCAACAACCCAGGGGTCCTCCAATCCCAGTTTTACTGATGTTGCAACCACGGCAGAGTCTCGAGAGTACATGAAATCAGGTGAAAAGTCACCACACTTCTGGATGTTCCTCAAGATTTGAACTAAAGTGGAAATGGACCCCAATTTCTGGTAATAGTGGGACCAAGCTCTGTGTGCCCTGTCCCCTCCCCACTCCCAAGACATTGTAGCCTATGTCTGTAAATCTGGTCCCGTGTTTCCATAAAGAAACGGGGATTGTAGAGCTAAGCTGTTGGGCCAGCAATTCCAGAAAGACTCGTTTTAGGCAGCATTTCTCAGACCCACCACCTTCACAGTCAGGAGACCTGAGCAATAGTAACCAGCTCTCTGCAGACCCCTTCTCTACTGATGTGCACTGTGGGTCTGTAAGGATGGGATAAAGAACGGTTTCCCCAAAATGTCTCCTTTCTTGATGCCCTTACCCCCAACTAACATCTCTCAGAATAATGCTGTATGGAAGACCTGTTGGGGAAACACAGACTGTGATTACAGCTACTTTGTTCTAAGAAGTCAGAGAAGAAGCATGAAGGGTAGTAACAGAAAGATCAATGAGTAGGTCCCATCCTTCATTCAGCAG